ACACACACACACACACACACACACACACACACACACACACACACACATACACACACACACATTAGACTACCTTTCCAGTTGTAGGCTCCAGGAGCCCCAAAGATGAGGTAGTGGTAGTTCTTGTCGAATGTGGCAGACATGCCCTGCTGGCAGGAGCCGAACATCTCGTGGCCTCTGTTCCGGTTCGCACAGAAATGCCAGCTACCTCCCTCATCCAACAATGAGGTATCAATAGTCAAGGACTGACTCAACACGTAGCAGCGGCCGATAATGTCACGAACCTCGAGGTTTTTGCCCACATTAGCCCGCACCTGGTAGCGATGGGCACAGGTCTACCAGGGAAACAAAAACACACTTTCAAGTTGAGGTAATGTCGATCAAACAAAAAAAATGCTTATGTTGAAATGACTAATTAGAGTTACGATGCTATAGTGATTAACCATTTGAACTCCAATTCCCATAAATTTTCACCTTAAGTATTTTCAAAGCCAGATAAGCCAAATATCGTATATTTGACATAGTACATATTGTGAAGGGCCAAAACTTTTATGCTGCTTTTCTTTGTTTTATAAAATTGTAAATTGAAAGAATTGAGTTTAGAATTGTTGCTTGGAGAAAACAAGCCATTTGAAAACGTCCCCTTGGGCTCTGCAACATTTTAATGTAGAGACAAACAAACAATCTAAAAAAATGGGGTTTTTTCAAAAGGGCTGAACCTGATGATTTTCATTATCAATGAATCGACCTGAATGTGAAGTCTATAAAATATCTTAAAATAGTGAAAAATGCCACCTTTAAATGTCTTATTTTCTATCCAATCAACAGTCCAAAACCCGAATATTTATGACAATATAAAACAAAGAAAAAATCCTCACAATGGAAAAGCTGAAACCAGAGACGTTTTGCCACTTTTGCCTCATAAATGACTGAAACGATTAATCGATTATCAAAGTAGTTGCTTATTCATTTTCTGTTGATTGACAAATCGATTAGGTCAACTAATTGTTTCAGTTCTAACATCTGAGTTTGTAATATCAAATTGAAGTAATTCAAAGACAGACTTACCACAACCTTGCCTCCTGGGCCCTGACTATTGACTGACACTCCCATCCACTGGTTCTCTTTGCTTTCTTTCTCTAGATCCTCTACAAAGACAGACAGAAATAGACATGCAGAGGATATTGTGACTCAAATATTAGGAGGGGGGGAGTGTGTCAAATAGCGTAAACCATATTAGAGAAATGCACAGGTGTCAGCAGATATCTCACCGTTGTCATCAAACATAACTCTGGTGCAACTACTTGAGGAGGAGGTCATGTCACAGTTGTACAGACCTCCCGGCACCTCAGATTTCTGATTTCTCCATTTTCTTGCTCTCGGGGCACCAACCAGCAGCCTGCGGCAGACACACAAAAGAATCCGTTGAAGCATATGCAGCTCGATCAAACGCACATTGTGAAAGAAGACTCAAGCTGTGGCACTCGTTTTTTGTCAAGCACTCAGAATGAGAAGCATTCTGGCATTTCTTCCACTTCCACATTATGTTATCACACATACCAGTCTACTGTGTGTCGCAGCAGCCATGTGCACACACACACAAACATCCGCCACCGACATGATGTTCCATGTCCTCACGGTCCAGCTGAGTCAAAGACCCCTTTCAAACGCCTGCTGTGGTTGATTGAACCACCAGGCTTTCTATCTCTCTCCACACACACACACACACACACACACACACACACACACACACACACAC